CCCCGAGGGATTTATAAAGAAAAAAACAAAAAATAAGGTCTATTTGTTGAAAAAATCTCTCTATAGTTTGAAACAATTTCCTAGATAGTGGTGTATGAGATTTGATGATATTGTTATGTCTCATGAATTTGTAAAGAGTAGCTATGATCATTGTGTATATTTTAAATATATGAGTGATAATACATATATGTACCTTATTATCTATGTGGATGACATATTAATAGTCTCTAGTAACTCAAAAAATATTAAAGAGCTAAAGGAAATGCTTAAAATTTTGTTTGATATAATGTTTTTGGGTCTAACCAAGAGAATTCTCGGCATGGACACAATTAGAGACAAAAAGGCTAGGTCACTTCTAATATGGACCTGTCTAAACCATTTAACTTCCTTTAGCTGCTCATTTTAGATTCAAGCATATGGTTGGTAGCTTAAATGATGATGAGGTTGCTCATACGAAATCTATTCCATATTCGGATGCCATAGGGAGTCTCTTGTATACAATAATAGGAACTAGGCCTGACATTGCATAATGCATATATTGTAAGTCTTGTGGTGTAGATTATGTTGCAAATATGGACAAGAGGAGCTCTCTAACATGGATGACTTTTACTGTTGGAGGTAATATAGTTAGCTGGAAGGAAAATATCCAGCATATATTGGGATTGTCCACCATTGAGGTTCAGTATATGGCTCTAATTGAAGCCATAAAGGAGGCCTTATGGCTGAAGGGCATCACTACTAAACTGAGTTTGAGTAAAGGTAAGCCACATGTAATGTGTGACTAACAAAGTGCATTGCATTTGTCCAAAAATGGTGCATACCATGAAAGGACGAAGCATATAAATGTAAGGTTGCATTTCACAAGGGATGTTATAGCAAATGGACAAGTAATTGTTGAAACACATTGCTCATAACTCAGCAAATGTTTTAACGAATTTTGTTCCTATTAGTAAGTTTAGGCAAGCCCTAGACTTACTTAAAATCAGATCTTAATAATGCATTGCCTAATGGCCTAGGGAGAAAATTCAATTACTCTTGTTCTTGCTCACTATTTTTTTTCAAATTAAGACGGAGTATGTTGTTATTCGTTGGGCTTGGCTAATTTGCAAAAATTTTTGTCTCTATTGCGTTGAGCCTTTTGCAAAGTTAAGTTGCCAATGTGAAGTATACTGAAATTATATCTTTGTTTTTACATTTTTGTCCTTACTAATGTGCGTGGTTAGCTTGTATCAGACGATTGATTCATTTTGTAACAACATATCAAATATTTCTTTCTCTCTCTATCTCGAAGGTTTCTTTTTCCAGATCCAGGGTTTACTTTCATCTCTTCCTTTACTCTTCCTGCGAGTGTATCCCTGAGATAAGTGTGTGTGGGAGTATATCTAGGGTTCTTCCTAGGTTAATGGTACGTTGTGTTAAAAGGGTGAGGATTTATGGACATCGTACAATGGTTATGCATTTTTTTAACCCTTGTTTTGTATGTGAAAGAATGTTCGATTCTTTTAGGGTTCTTGGTCAAATATATGAGGTGAGCATCTGGTCAATGAACCAGTGAAAGCTTGGTGTTTCTTCTTGCTTTAAGAGAACCTTGGAGTTTGGTGTTTGAGCTGAAGTGAACCTTGGAGCTACTGGTTTGGTGTAGTTCTAGTTTCAGTGGTTTTTTTCTTCTTCTATTTTTGTATTAATTGCTAAGGGTTCTATATTGTGTTGTTGATGTTTCCTGTTGTGGTTTTATTCTTGTTGTATACTCCAGCTTGCACGGGATGCGGGTATTAGACACATGTGGGTGGAAGGGGACTCTCAAGTGGTTGTACGTCTTATCAGTAAGGGGTGTGAGCCCCAGTATCCTTTGGCTTCCTTGGTAAGTAGGATCTGTGAGCTGCATCAAAGACAATGGCAGACCAAGGTTACACATACCTTTAGAGAGGGGTAAGACTGTTGCAGATAAACTTGCTAAGTTGGGTCATGATCTTATTGATTAGGAGATGCAGGTTCTGAATGTGCCTCCCATAGATTGTATTGTTGTTAACTCTCCCAAATGAGAGTTAATTTGCTATTTTTATGATGAATTTGCGGCATAAATTCCATATAAAGTGTCTTAATTGCATGATAGTTGAGTTAATTGTTGTATATTTATGATTAAGTGCTTTGAGATGACTAAGTATGGAAAATGAGACAATATTCCTTGATTTTGTGAAAGAAAAGATGACTTGTTGAGTATTTGTCTTTGCAGGAAAAGTTGACGCCAGAATGCTGTAGCAGAGAAGCTGACGAAGCAATGATATAGCAATCGGTACAACATGACAGCATGGACAAGGGAACAACTGAATTTTTTCAAAATTCAAAAGTTAGTTATTCCCCAACAATTGGATAAGACACCAGCAAGCAAGGATCAAGGACGTTTTCAAGATTAATTCTTATCCTAAAATCGCAAGAAACAAGGACAACAAACTCGTACCTAGTCCACAACAATATTGGCACAAGAAAATCAAGAAGATCAAGATCTTATCCAATCAAGTGCCAACAGCCCAAGAAATTAGGGATAAGATAAGGCTGCAGCAACACGATTCAAGGAATCTCACTCCCAACCCTAAGACCTGATAATCCAACCACTTTATCTATTTAAGGATAAGTCCCCCATGGACTCAAGGAGTTTTAGAGAGTCTTTCAGAGGTTCAAGGTTAGACGGAGTTAGAAAGAAGTCAGAGAAACAAAGAAGGGACATTTTAGAGAGAGAAAGTAAGATTCTTGGAGGAGGAAGAGCTGCTGGAGCAAGATTGTGACAGAATTTTACGACATCATTCGTTTTCATCTTCTTTTCTGTTTTTTAATGAGTTCTTTCTTCCTCTTCTTTGTTTTGTTTAATTCCATTATGAGCTAATTTGCTCTATAGGTTAGGTGATAAAGTACCTATGCTGTAACAATGAGATGTATGCCTAAACTTTGTTTTTATTAATGTTTAATTAGTTTTTCAACGAGTTTGCTTATTCTTATTCATGTATGCATGTCGAGAGATACATATGTGATATTGAGGAGGTTGGGGCCGAGAGGTTTTCGAATCCAGACCCTTGTTGAATTGTGTGGATTAATTAGGTTAAAGTTAACTTGATTAAGTTGGGGATAGAGAGATCATTCACATCACATAGCCTTTGAACTTGGACTTTAACAATTCAGTAATTAGTTTGGCCATAGAGATGTGGGAATTAGTTATTGGGTATACATGTTAGGTTGGCCAAAAGCCCCAGCATACCTTAGTGTTCGGTTACTAATTAAGCATTGATATATCATCAAAGCATTATTTCAGTATTGCTGTATCAGGGAAATTGAACATGACCTATGTTTCATCCATCATCTTAATACCTTTAATTTTAGTTTACTGTTTTCTTACTTTTAATTGTCTTTTATTTTATAAATTCAATCATCAAAATCAATCATTTTTCCTATTTTCTTTACTTGAATAGCTCATACTTTATACTTATCTCTGTGGAAACGATACTTGGACTCACACATCCCTTTATTACTTATGACACGTGTACTTGCGTATTTGTGTGGAAGATTTAATTGATCACAAATTGCACAACAAGTTTTTGGCGCCGTTGCCGGGGATAATTTATAAAGTTTATTTTTATTTTAGTGAAGAAATTTTCTTTCTTTTATATCCTTTACCTTTCTCCTTACTGTTTTCAAGGTGTTAATTGCAGCGTATGAGCAGTTCTTCATCTGAGCAAGAAGAAGATTTGATCCTGATATTGAAAGAACATTTCGAGCAAGAAGGAGACGACAAAGACCTAGCAATCCTACAACAATACCTGACATGGCAGAAAGGCTAAGAAACGGTGAAGAGGATGGACCTTGAAATAACAATAAAGGTCCAAATCAAGTTGAGATTCCAATCAGAGCGCATACAATTCCTGCGCTCAATAATTTGCATTCTGGAATCGTTCAACCTGATGTAACAGCAGAGCACTTTAAGCTGAAGCCAGTGATGTTTAACATGTTGCAGACCATTGGTCAATTCGATGGACTGCCTAGTGAAGACCCTCACCTTCACCTCAAGAACTTTATGGATGTAGCAGACACTTTCAAGATTAGAGGAGTTACACCCGATGCTCTAAAGCTGAAGTTGTTCCCATATTCCCTCACCAGCAAAGCTAAAGCATGGTTGAATTCTTTACAACCACAGTCAATCCAAAGTTGAGAGGAGTTGGCAGACAAGTTTTTATTGAAGTTCTTTCCTCTCACGAAGGCAGCCCAATACAGGAATGACATTTCAACCTTCAAGCAATTGCAAGAAGAGTCATTTTATGAGGCTTAGGAGAAATTTAAAGATCTGTTGAGGAAGTGCCCAAACTATGACATTCCTGAATGGATTCAAATGGAGACATTCTACAATGGGCTGAATGGACCAACAAAGAGCATGGTTGATGCATCATCTGGAGAAGCCCTTTTAGAAAAGACATATCCAAAAGCATATGCAATATTGGAGAGGATGGCAGTCAACAATTATCAGTGGCCTGTAGAAAGATCAAGTTCAACACCAAAGAAGGCTGCTGGAGTTTTGGAACTCGATGCTGTAACAGCACTGTCAGCACAGATTTCAGCTTTGAACAACTCTATCAAGAAGCTGAGTCTGTCTACTGAAGCAAAAGCACAACCAGTCAATGCCATAACTGATGTTATATCATGTGTTTTTTTGTAATGGTCCACATGTTTATGATAATTGTCCACAAAACCCTCAATCTGTTTGTTTTATAGGTAATTACAATAGGAACAACAATCCATATTCAAATACCTACAATCCCGGATGGAGAAATCACCCAAATCTTTCTTATTCTCAAGGACAACATCATGGGCAATAGCAAGGACAACAACAAATGTCCTCAGATACAGCAGGAAGGTCATATAAAGCTCCTTACCCTCCTGGATTCACGCAACAGCAGCAACATCCTAGACAGCAAGCTGATACATAAAGTACGCTAAAAAGTATGCTGAAAGATTACATGACAAGGAGTGATGCTATAATTCATAATCAAGCAGCATCAATCAAAAATTTGGAGACTCAAGTAGGTCAATTGGCAGAAGCACTTAGAAGCAGACCTCAAGGAGCCTTGTCAAACAATACTGAAGTCCCAAAGAAGAATAAAGAAGAACAGGTCAATGCTATATCATTACGGAGTGGTAAAGCCGTAGATGAACCAGAAATCATAAAGAATTACCATGAGCAGAAGCAGAAAGCATCGAATCAGCATGAAGAAGATAAAGTTGTTGAAGAGGAGGAAAATCATGATCAACCTAAAGAACCTCAAGTTGCTGGCACTGAGAATACTGCTATAGCAAAACCACAGCAAGGTCAGACTATCAGCAAAACAACAAGACCACCACCTCCCTTTCCTCAAAGATTGCAGAAGCAAACTAATGACAAGCAATACAAGAAGTTCCTTGATGTTCTAAAACAATTGCATATTAATGTACCCTTGGTTGAAGCACTTGAGCAAATGCCAAGTTATGCAAAATTTATGAAGGACATTTTGGCAAAAAAGAGGAAGCTGGAGGAATATGAGACAATAGCTCTCACCCAAGAAAGTAGTCAATACTACCTCAACAAGTTACCACCAAACCTTAAAGATCTAGGAAGTTTTACTATTAATTGTACTATTGGTAACCAATATGTAGGCAATGCATTATTAGATTTAGGTTCAAATTTGAACCTTATGCCTAAAAGTATTTTCAGAAAGCTTGGAATAGGAGAAGCACGTCCAACCACTATCCGTTATTGATGGTTGATAGATCATTGACTTATCCAGAAGAAAAAATTGAAGATGTGTTGGTAAGAGTGGATAAGTTTATTTTTCCTGCTGACTTTATTGTTCTTGACTTTGAAGCAGATAGGGAAGTACCCATTATTTTGGGAAGAGCATTCTTAGCCACCGGACGAGCAGTCATTGATGTTGAGAAAGGAGACTTGACTATGAGAGTCAATGATGAGCAAGTTACATTCAATGTACTCAAAGACATGAAGTATCCTGAACAAGTGGAAGAATGCGCTAGCATGGACACTATTGATGCAGTTCTGCTACAGAACCTCAAGCAGCAAACAGAGATAGAACCACTGAATGTTGCTATAGCAAAGGAATGTGCAGAAGATGAAGAAGAAATGAAAGAGTGCCTTGCATGGATGGAGTCCCAACCAATAAGACCTTACAATGAGAGACACTTTGAGACTCTTGGAGAAAGAGTGATAAAGACACTTAAGCCATCTATAGAAGAACCTCCAATCCTTGAGCTCAAACCACTGCCCCAGCATCTTAAATATGCATATTTAGGAGATGAAAATACTTTACCTGTTATTATTTCATCTTTTCTCTCTGATGCAGAAATGGAGCAGTTGCTACAAGTACTAAAAGAGCATAAAACAACCCTCGGATGGAGCATTGCAGACATAAAAGGAATCAGCCCTACATTCTGCACACATAAAATATTGCTGCAGGAAGGCTACAGCAGCACTGTTCAGCCTCAAAAAAGGCTGAATCCTATGATGAAGGAAGTTGTCAAGAAAGAAGTGATTAAATGGCTTGATGCAGGAGTAATATACCCCATTTCAGATAGCCAATGGATAAGTCCTGTGCAATGTGTACCAAAGAAAGGAGGAATCGCAGTTGTGAAGAATGACAAAAATGAGCTTATACCAACAAGAACTGTGACCAGATGGAGAATATGCAAGGATTATAGGAAGCTTAATGATGCTATAAGAAAGGACCACTTCCCCTTGCCATTCATTGACCAAATGTTGGATAGACTTGTAGGGAAGCAATTCTATTGCTTTTTATATGATATTCGTGTTACAACCAGATTGTTGTAGCACTAGAAGATGAAGATAAGACCACATTTACTTGCCCGTATGGAACCTTTGCCTTTAGAAGGATGCCATTTGGATTATGCAATACACCAGCCACCT